CATATATACATCAACATAAAGGCTACATTAATTAAATAAGCTCAATTATCACATTCTTCTCTTTTTTCTTTGTTCTCCTTCAAGCATTCCTCCTCCTTTGCATACTATGCCTAGTATGGTTGGTTAAGAGAGGGTGAGATTCGGGAGAATCTTAATAGCAAACAATAACTACCCAAACATACATGATAAGCTTGGCATTCATAATATGTTTGCAACTTAACATCTTTATAACATAATGACATGTTTGGAAATCATCATGCCTCGCCATGTGTTTCATAATTAAACCACTTAGCTTATGATTTTTCCATTTGTAACTTGATTAGGCTATATGTTTCATGATCTCGCCATTTGTCTTCTCACAATATTCCTACCAATGAGAAGCCTTACACGTGGGGTGAAACAGGGGACGAAAAGAAAATTAGAAAGCTTCTCTAACAAGCTTCCAAACTATCAGTTTCATTCGCCTCTTATCAGTCTCTTTTCTTTCTCCACAGGCTTTCTTGGAATTTCTAACCAATGAATTGGCCCACATATGGCACAATCTTAGAGGAGCATAGAAAAAAATAGTTAGCTCCATTGGCAGGCTACTTAGCCTTACTAAGTCACGTAGTAGAGATTTCGTTGTGTTGGGTAGACAGAGAATTGTCTAAAACATACATGTACAACATTCTAATTTTTCTACTGTCTATAAATACCTCTTGATGACTCATTAGATGACCTAGCGGTGTTATAAATGCATCTTGGAGACTTAGCACGCGGTCTCAACGCTTTCATTAATGAGCCTTAGATATTTTCTAACTTGGTCTCCTATTTAAGAAACAAAAATTATTTAATATTTGATTAAAGCATTTTACTCAATCCAAAACTCTAAAAATTCATCCATCTATACCATAAATTTTTTTTAATTCTAGAGAAAATATATTAATTTTCCCAGACCATAACTCAATTTGTAGGTTTTTTTTTAAAATTTCCCATAAAATACCCCTAAATGGCAAAATGGAACCTTAAATATTCTTAAAGCTATTTTGCTCGCCTTCTGGAAACAAGGCTAATTTTATAATTTTCTACAATCTCTTAACTCATACATTCCTATTTTTTCTTAATTTTCTGAGGCTTTCTTATGGCTTAAACAATTAATTAATCTAACTATATACCTCAAAATGAGCCATAACCTTGGAAATTTTATTAAAGTCAATTCAATAGCATTTTCATAATTTTTCTTCACATATAGGCCTAACATGCTATTTTTCATTTTTTAGAAATTTTAAAAATTTTTAAGCATAATTTTCATCTTTGTCCTTTCGCTGAAACTTTACAAAATTATGATTTGTCCTTAGCTTGACTTAACCCCATAATTATCCTCATTGAGGCCTCTAACATAACCTTTGGCTTACATTCATCTCCATTTCTCATTTTTAGGGCTTGAGATTTCATTAGAGTCTCTAACTTTATTTACATTTTAGTCTATAGAACTTTCTTAATTTGCAATTTAGTTCTTGAAAACCCTTTAACCTTCCTGTTACATTTTCAAAACTTCAGCTCATAGAGACTCAGTAGCTTAATCATTTTAGTCTATTCCTTACATTTCTAGACCCAAAATCCGGGATGTTACAGGGACTGCCATAAGTTTGCGACTATAGCCACAAATGCATCTATCTTTATTATCACAAATGACCCCACCATAATCACTTCTTTCGTTTTTCTACCATCTACCTCAATCTCGATGGGACCTTTTATAGCATGCACGTCCTTCACATGAGTTATTGTTAGAAGGCACAATATTTCCTAACATGTGATGTATTGATTCAAACAAGCTCTAAATGGGATGGATTGAGCATTCAAAAAGATCATTCATGCCCTGTACGCCAAAAAGTTTGTTGCATGAGAAATCCTAATTAATATCCCAACATATGCATACAAAAAGAGTCAACTACTAGACCTTCTTAGTATGATTCATATTTGCTTCAGGTTTTGAATTCCAATTTATCCATTCTATTCCTTGGAGGGAGGGAAAGGTGTTCTATTTTGCAAGAGAGATTGTAGGCTTCCAAGGGTCAGTGGCATTCAAGCAATCACTTATTAAGTGCATCGAGTCTTCCTCTTGGTTGCATCCAAAAGAACAGATAGCTGACATTGCAAGACCTCTTCTCACTCTTATATGCTGCTCTTTCATGGGAGAATAATCACATAAAGGACTTCATTTTTTTTCTAGTACTGGCCATCTACATAGAATCTTCTAGATAATATTCGCTTTCTAATGATGATTCATAACCCAAAAAAAAAAAACGATATGCATATTTAATAGAAAAACACCCATAACTAAATGGCTTGCTATAGAATTTGTCCTCTCCTCCCTTTTCATGAGACGAGTCCGCATAAGTGATATGATCGATGAAATGAGACTGGAACCAGGCTCCGTTTTTCTCTCTCCCAATTTCCGCAAAGATTCACATAATCCACCGCGCATTCATTCCTATCAATCAACCTCTCATAGCCATGAACTAAATTAAAGTTTTGGAAAATACCAAATTCGTTGTTCCTTTTGCTCATCAGACATCCATTCAATTTTGGCCATTCTCACAAGAAGTTAATGTACAATGCCACAAATTGGAAAAAAGTTTTCTTTTTTTTTGGGGGTTTTCTTGGCGTCCTTGCATTTTCTCTCGGTAAGAATTTTGAAAACGTTACTCATAGAATAGGATAAGATAATATGTATTTTGTTAGATTGCTAGAATGTGTTGAAAATCGGACTAATCATTAAACTGATCAAAATAGTAGCTCAAAGGTCAATAATCTTACCCTAATTAAATTAGGGTCAATCAAATCATGATTAATAAAAAGCATTAATCCATAAGTAAATGAAACATTGATATATAAATCACACATAATCTAACAAAACAGATTTATTGAAGCACAAATATAACGTGTTGCTTTTAAACTCAACATCGTTATTGTTAATAATGATAATTTAATAGAAAATAATAAGAACAATCGATGGAGAAAACACATTCATTGATCAAAGAGCAATATGCTCATACAACAATTAATCATCTCTTCTTTGAGGGTGATGAACAAATTCCATGATTATTGGGAATTTTGAAAACAGAGACGTAATTAGTATGCATCTGATAAGAGACTGCACCAATGCACAACGACGATGTGCTTTCACACGCTGACTGGGATAGGTTCAATATAATAAATGGACCTAAATGGGTGAAATGAAATTGGGAAAAGGAGGCATGACAGGAGTACGCAAAGATACTTCAGTGGCTTAACATGTTTGGTTGTCTGTTGGGACGTGTTATGAGATGCAAGAAGCTCTTTGACCCAAACTGCACAAAAGATCGATAGAATCCCATTTCTAGTTTCTATAGAGCTTGTTGGGATCATAATCTCATGCTTCAATGTAATTTTTATAGTAGTGCTCGAGGTCAAAGCAAGTTTAAAACAGGTATCATGGGGAGTTCGTCAAGTTAGAAATAGATGGTTCAGTCTTGATTAATGGAGAGCGGATGTGGAGGAGCTATCTGGGATACGGATGGTAGATGGCTAATGGGATTCAAGTGCAAACTCACCAAGATTCCACTAGCGGTAGCAAAACTAATTCGCACATTCATGGCCTTAACCTCTGTTGGGTCAAAGGGTTTTAAAAATGTTCTTCTGTTTCGGATTATATAGAGGCCTTAAGTTTGATTATTAAAAGTTGTGATATCTCTCACCCCTTTAGAGGCATAGTTATGGTTTATTACACCTTTAGGAAAAATTTAGGAATTGTTGATTACTTAGCCAAGTCTTTCCATACCATAGATGACAGTTTTTGTACTTTTGATCAACCTCCACCTCTTCTGCAGGAAAATGAGGACTCTGATGATGAGAATTGGCCTTGGTGCAATTGTTCCGTTAACGTTAAAAAATAAAAATAAAGACTCAAGTTATTCTCTCTTTTTTGGTGAGGACTCTACTATCCGACACACCTAGAAGTAATGATAATGGAGGACCACAAAAACACACACAAATCTTACCCTTTTGATTAACACCGAGTTAATATCTGTAATAGTTATTTCAAATTCAGCAAGAAAAGAAAAATTATAAAATCCAACATGATCAATTCATTTAAAACTCTTACGGATTAAGTGATGAAATTAGCCTTCATCCATAAATGGATTCACCGATTTAACCAACCCATTTTTAATGCCATAATTTTCACGGAGCTAATTTGAAACGCAAATCACGAGAAAGAAGCGGTGAATTATTTGAAGGAGACAAGCGCTGGAAGCTTTAAGTCCGTGAGTAACCCTTTATGCCTCCATTTAACACTGCAAACATCTCATGTTGTGTTATCTCTTTCGCTGGCTAATTAATGCCTTTGGGGCCCCCAACATCACATAAAGTTGCTCCGTCGCTAATATACAAACCAATTCATCTTTGTTGCTATTCATCACCAACTTTATATACACACAGACATATATATATATATATATATGTATGTGTGTGTGTCTAAAGTAAAGGGCAAATTGAGAATTAAATTTAGTTCTAAATATGAAACTTAAATCTACTTTACTTGTTATCTTTTTCTAAAACATCCTTATTATAAAGAGTTTCTATCAAAAAAATAATTTCAATTATTTAATGCACATAATTACGAGGATAATTTAGAAAAATTATATATATTTATAATAAATAACCAATTTAACTAATTTTATCTAACTCTTATACTAAAAACTAGAAGTAGTGTAAAATTGGTTCATCACATAACTATTTTTGTATTTTGAAATCAGAAGATTTTGCTAGCATTAAAAAAAAAGGAGTTAGCATAAGGTGCCAAGAAAATATACTCACTAACAACTGATTAGGTTGCAATGACAAATTACAATGACATGTTTAAATTATTCACATGTCATTGAAATGTTTTGATCATCGTATTGGACGTCACCTAATTCTCCTTTTAAAAAACAAAGGAATGTATTCAAACAAAAGAAATAAAAAAAGGGGAAGACAAGGCAAGCACAATGAGAATCAACTGGCAAAAAGTAAATCCAAAAGTGGGAAACATTCAAAAGTAAAAATGGAAGAGAATCTAAAGACAATACATTACACATAAACTATATTGCTATATATATTAATCTCAATCATTAGTCTCTCTCTCTCTCTACTACTTTACATCATCATCTCTTCATCTCTCTCTCTCTCTCTCTCTCTAACTCTTAACTTTTGTTACAGCATCAGCAATAAAGTGAGGAGGGTCATACCGATTTCAAATCCACATAACCTAATGATCATCATCACCTGCATCAATCACAAGCCCATCAAATTTGTCTATCTTTACATGCAATATTTAATGCATTTAATATTTTAAAATATTTAATTTAATTAATAAATAAAACCCCCATTAGCAAGTACTTCACACAGCCATCATGACCACAGTTCACGTGTTTCCTTTTCCTTACCTACCATTATTAACAAACCTACACAGTATCATTTTCAACTTGATTTTTTACCCTCTTTATCTAAATATGGTCTTTTAATGTCACAATTTTTTCTAAAAAAACATTTAATAAAAATATAATTCATAATATGGGCATGCATTGAGTTTTACTATATTACTCTAAAATTTTATTAGTAGGTAATATATCATTTCTACATTTTTTTTGGAGTATTTTGACCTGTGCTGCAAATCATCTAGTAATGTCAAAGACCTTATTATTTGTGGATAATTAAGTGTTATATTAAATTTTTCTAAAAAAATCACAACTGAAAATTCTTCAAATTATTCTTTAAGGAAAAAAGACAAGATCTTGGATGCTAATTTTTTCCCAAGAAAAAGCGCAAAATTTTCCGCTTTTATGGGTACATAACTAAATATGAAATATCTATTCAAAATTAAGGAAGACTACAAAATAAGCATAATACAAACATATTAAATATTGTAATTAAAGAAAGAGAGTAAGACAGTGAACCAGAGCGGGATGGCACCTGTCTGTCTTGGCCCGAGGTTGGGAGAGGGCGTATGGTGGCAGAGTCCACTTCACCAGTAGGAAGAGGAACCGCAGGATTACTGTTGATAAACGGCATGCCGTTTCCTCCTCCTTTGGTAGGTACTAAGGGAAATGCCGCCGTTGAACTTCCGGCCGGTGCCGGGCCAGGAGAATCAGCTTGGCGAGGACGGAAAGGCCAAGGGAATGAAGGGGACGACGGCACTGACCCGCCGCCGGAGGCCGGAGCCAGAGCAGGAGCCGCCTTGGGAGAAAGCTCCGGCGGTATTGCCGGCGAGACCTTTATGCCTAGCTTTAGAGAAGCTTCACATGCTTTAAACGACCCGTCGTTGAAGGTGAAGTAAAAGGAACCAGGACGCGATGGGTGCCACTAAGAACATCATTACAGAATTGGTAAGAAATTGAAAGAGAAAAACAATAACTTTGCATAACCCAGATAGAAATGCTGAGAAAGACAATATTTTGAAGAAGTTCCGACAATACCCAGATAGATATTACTGAGGAAATGACAATTTTGAAGCTGTTTGTTAAACACCGAGATAGAAAGTGCCGAGAAAAATCAGATTCTGAAGCTATTTGCGAAATACCCATATCGAGATTGCTAAGAAAAACCAGATTTTGAAGCCATTTCTGAAATGCCCATATAAAAATTGCCAGGAAAAACCAGATTTTGAATTTTTTTTTCCTACGTCAAATGGTCAAATGAGGGTGAGAGAAAATTATTTACCGTGTAAGAGGTTGCATGGGATTTGGTGAGAAGAGTGGCTTGAGTGAAATTGCAGAGATCAAAGGCTTTCTGGTTCTTGAAAATGTAAAGATTGTAGTGTTGCCTGTGCTTGAAAACTTTACCAAAACAGAGTAAAACACACATTATTAGCTGCTCATTTGAGTAAACAAAGCTGAGGAACATTCCAGAAAACTCGATCTGCAATACTTACTGATGGAATCTCCAATGTGAACTGTGGGGTTCTTCCACTCTGAGGATCCATCAACTAAAATTGTAGCACAGAAACAAGACTGGAAGAACAAGGGAAGAAGAAGAAGGGGAGAGAGAGAAACGGAAACGAAGGAGGGCATGGTGGCGGTGTTGATGATGGAGATAATGATGAAGCGGAGAGAGAGAGAGAGAGAGAGGCTGTACCAAGAAGAGGCTATGGAAGCTTTTTATGTTTGCATATGAGTGAATAATGTGGGTAATAATGAAATGCAGAAGAAATACAAATAGGAAAATGTTTTTTTGGAGACTGTGTGTGTGGGGGAGAAGAGCAAAGAAAGATAAGAGTAAACAAAAGATTTTTTGAAGACTGTGCTTGTGAGAGGGAAAAAGAGAGAGAGGCTTTGGATACAGTTAAATTTGCAAAATTGTCAGGGCCTTGGAGGATGGAGAGGTGTGCTTGACCTTGTTCTTTACGCGCAAAAGGCCGTCTTATTTTGCTTCTCGAAAACTACCTTCGAATTAATTATGCTAAAAAGGAAATTAAAGGAATTTTCATCCAGGTACTTGGATTAAAATATAAGCAGTGTCGCGTTTAATAAGGAATTGTTTAGAGGATTAAGATATATCTAAAACTCAAAATATTTTGAACCTGTTTAGCATAGTATTTATAAATATTTATAAATATGTTTTACATAAGTCGAGATAAAACTACTCTTAAATACTTACTTTATATTTCATAAATGATGATTAAAAATTATAACCTATTTCAAGTGGGTTTTTATCAGATACATTCAATACCTTAAAATAATTTGTTATGCAATTTGACCTTTAATGTTTTAAAAGTGGAGCAATTTCACCCTTACGTTAATAGTCCCCCAAATGTCCGTCAATTAGCATCTTTTTAAAATTGTCTCACAAATTACTCTAGAGTGTTAGTTTAAAATGCTGATTAAATCTTAACCCTTGTTTGTGTTCCATTTATAATTAATTAGGAGAATCAAAGTCATGATTTTTTGAAAAACATCTAATAATAAAATTGAGGAAACATATCAGGCTTGTAGAATTGACTCATTTGAATTTTGTCCAAACATGATAAGTGGTATTCTTGCTGGAGCACTAGTCATTGACATGATTGTGCGCCTATGTGTTTAATTGTATTGAATTGAAAAAAACATCTTATACCACTTTTGGATTAATAAACACGTTAAGAATGTAAATTTCCTTTTAAAAATAGCCTCACATACAAGCATAGTCAAAAAGATTAAACCATGTAACAATGATTAGACTATGTGACAATGTTTCTAACATAGTTCCAATACAATTTTACACACAAGTATGTTCGAAGAACTTCATAAGTACAATATAAAATGTTTCGATGCACCTAAGTATGCCTGATTGATTCTAAACCACAATACAATAGATTTCTAGTGTACAGAGGCATGCTTACAAGTTTCATAAGTACCTTACAATTTACAAACAATTCTAACATCATTTCAACCCAGAACATGTTATTTCCAACATTAGAAATCATATCAAGTCCTCAGTCGGCTACAAATGCCAAAACAATCACTACTATAAAAATATAAATATTTGACAGTTATTTTTAACCATACTGGACGGTTTATAATTGTCAAATACGGAGGAGTCAAATATTTATGTGAGTAATATTTAACAATTAATAACTGTCAAATATTTGATACAAGACATGACGGTTTTAACTAAAAACTATCAAGTATTGTGGCCAAATATTTGACGGTTATTGATCAAAACCGTTAAGTATATATTAAACATACTTGATGGTTTTGATCAATAACAGTCAAGTATGTGTTAAACATACTCAAGCGTTATTTGCTATAACTGTTAAGTATTATGTATATTTGATGGTTGTTAGATATAACTATAAAATATCTACAATACTTGATAGTTATATCGAATAACTGTCAAATATTATGGAATTTTTTTTAAAAAAAATTAGGTAGCTGCTTTTCTAGCAGCCCACCTGCGTTTTGAAAACAAAAAGCAACAATAGAACAAAGAACATATATATCAATCCAGCAAACAAATTAGAAATAGAAATTGATATTATATTTTAAGAAACCAAAAGTAATATAATATATACAAAAGGAAACTTGGGCAAGAGAAAGCAAAACAAAATTTGTCAAGTACTAAACCAAAACAAAAATTGACTCTTCACAAAAACCATAACAAAATTTTGTTTTGCTTTCTCTTGCCCAAGTTTCCTTTATGACACAATATCCACAATCTGAGTTCTTGTCTGCCCGCAAGGGGCACTATAAAGAAAGGGAAAGGAAAATATATTAATGATGATATAATGATAAACTATATTTAGTTGAATAGTCAATAGTGATGAATACCTTCACTTTTTTTCATGGAAACATGGAATCAAATAGATTGCCTTTGACCAAGGAACATGCTAAGCCTTGATTCATACAGAGCAACCACAAATCACCTTTGATTGGGAGGTATGCTAAGCCTTGATCCGTATAGATCAGCCACAGAACTCTAAGAATACAATGAAATTAAATGTTAATGATTGTCAAAATTAGATAGGAAAACAAAATTAAATTCAACGTGATAAAACACATTTAAGTTACCTGTTAAACAGTGATTGCATAAATCGTCGACTGGCCAGATCTCTATTAAGAGAATCAAAACATCAAATTTTTTTTTTTAAAGGGATTGACAACAATCAGCATCTAATGTCTGCTAAATACAATAAAAACAATGAGAACAATTGAAAACTATTATAAAATAAAAAAATGCAAGAAAATTTAGTATACTTACCCTTGGTAATAAGGTGCAAAAAAGAAAGTGTCCCTATTCTTTACTGCCCTTGAAATCAAGATATCCACCAAATCCCTCGATAAGTCTTGCTTCATATCAGGGTCGTGGCCAGCAAAGGTATAGGGACTGATGAACCTAAACTTTTCATCAAGGCCGCTAGGAATAATGAAATGCTTATAAAGGTACCTAACTGCCTAAACAGAAATATCAATATAATAAATATTCTAAGTAATTAATTATTTAATCATGGTTTGAGAAATATCTTATATAAAAGTTACAGGCATTCGTGCTAGCCATTTCATGAGCCAGAATTTCTTTTAGTACATCATTTGTGACGTACTCATATACGAATGTCCTGTAAACCTCTAGCTCAAAGGTGAGAAGAATCATCAAGTAGTAGCTGTGTTCTAATTTTGATCCAATTGCATATTTTTCAAGACATATTTTATATCTTGATGACAGTATAGGAGTAGGCTCAGAGGGCTTCTTCTGTGAACATGATAATGACTAATCTCCCAATAGGCTCTTCTTTCTCTTAGACTAACAAACATATAATTAGCAATTAAAACATAATTTATATATTATTTTAAATTAGCTGAAGGTTTCAACACACACACCCACACCCACACCCACACCCACCTTTTTAGGCGGTTCTAACTTAATAAAACATCCAAGCCAAGCAACAAAGTTACCAACTGCTTAGGCCACTGTGTTCGTATCTGAGGTAGGCATAAGAAGGGCGCAATTGCCATCTATAGTAGTGTTCAACTATATTCTTACATGTTGAGCAGGGAGAGCCACATTTTGAATCATAGTCTCTCTCAGTAAGTTCAACATGCAGCCCGTGGTGACGGTGTGATGTTTACGGCTATCTGCCACACACTAGATGTCTACTTTACCCTAAGCGAACATATAACTTTTATTTAGTTTGTTTTGAAAATAATTAAATGTGATAATATAAACACAAGCACTATTATACCTTAGGTAGAGAAGGGAATGTGCAGTTGTCTTTCCCGCTCGGGATGAGATTCAAAGCCGGTTATGGTGCTTGGCCCATGATCAATTGATCAACTAGAAGCACTTGTGCTTTGACCTGCTCTTTAACCAATACGCTTCCTCCTTCAACTCCATAAACTCTATTAAAGGCAACATTTAACACAAGAACAAATAATGCTATTGCGATTATTGGCATGCTCAATCACGAACTTAATAAAATATTCTATGCAATCCCAATATTTCTTTGATATGTGATTAGTAGATATCCATTTCTTATCTATGGTCCCCATCTAACATTAAACATTTAGAGGGAAATGTGATCAGCGAGTCAAACATGTTGAATGAATTAAACAAATATAAGAAATCAATAAGTCACAACTTATCACATGTTACTCTCTTTAATTTTAGTTCTGCTATTCTAACTGTTAACAACTAGTAATCAAAATAAATTAAATCATGTGCCATTTTATTTGAAAAAAAATTTGACAGTATAACAGCTTAAAAATGATCATTTCTCAGGTTTTATGCCTTCTATTTGAACTATATCACAACTAATAACATTAATGAAAGAAAAACAAACCCACTAAATTCCAACTAACTTGTATGAAAGTTTAATTCTTCATACTAAAAACAAATTTCATTGAATTTAGAAACAATTCCATCTAAATTCAATCATGTCCCATTTCAATTGGAAAAAATTCGGCTGCATAACAACTTAAAATGAGCACTTCCTAGGCCTTATGCCTTCTCTTTTTACTATTTTAATTTCAAAAAATAAACCTTTTAATGCCAAACCAACAAGACAATTATTGATGGAAGTTTAATTTAGTCTAAATAATATCTCATGTAACATGTAATCATTCAAACCACTAGGAATAATGCTTTAACTAAATTGAAATGATTCCATCCAACCAGAAATCAAACCCAACAAACCATAATCAAAACATATAACCCACAATTCAGATAACATAACCCAACACTTATAAAACTTGTAAACAACATATAACCTACACAAATGAACTAACATTGAAACGAAGAACAGCTAACAAACCCATCGATCAACATTTAAATGAAGAAGAACAAGAAGAAGAGATGAACCAAAGCAAATGGCATTCACTATAAAGCTAAAACATTTTTAAAACACTATAGAAGAAAAAGAAAGGTGATGAACCTGGAATGCTAAGCAAAACCACCTCTTGCACTGTCTTGAAATGGGAGCATCATGGCAGCGATGAACAACAAACTCGATGGCAATGAAGGGGAGAGCATGAAAATGATGGTGGAAAAGCACAAAATCACAGGGGAAAGTGTGAAACTTAGGTAAGGAACAAAGATTTGAATCTTCGAAGGCTAAGGGAGAGCGCATAATAGAGAAATGACAGTAAAAACCTAAAACGAGTCTAGGTGAAATGAACAGATTAGGGATTTAATTAAAAAAGGAAATACTTGACAGTTATTACTAATAACGGTCAAGTTTTCTCCTGA